TGGTGATCCAGGCTCCGGCGATTTTGGATGAGGACGGCGACGAGATCGAGGAAGAACGGCCCATCCGAGTGTTGTGGGGTGTTCGCGGGCAGGATTTATGGATGGAGGCAACAGAGGATGTGATCCGGTACTTCATTGCGGGTGTGAAGCATTCCAAGCCCTACGAGCAGCCAGTCAGCAAGAGAGCTAAGCAGGGGAAAGGGGCGAGCCCAAAGAAGAGACGACGACGAGGTCCGAAACCCAGGCAAGCACGAGAGGAGTCCGACCAGGAAACCCAGGCCATCGATCAGGATTAAGACCCCTCACTTTGACTCGTTTTCCTCTGTGCAGCTGTGTGCAAAATGAGGGAAGTGCAATGCCCGAAGGTTTATATAAGGATCGATAAACTTGCATGCTTTAGTCCCACAACCACCAGGTTGCAATGTGCTGCTAGAGATCGCTTCAGTTCATGGTCGCCTTCCTGCTCTGCAGTGCTAGAAGCATGCATGCAGCATAACGAACACCATCAACATGATACATCAGGGTATATATATATATATAGAGGGCTGTATTTCGCATGCCCATGGAGCCGATGGCCCGGTTCTGTGATGACAAGAAGAAGAACGATGATGAGATCGAAGGTGACGACAAGAAGAAGGACGATGGTGATGACAAGAAGAAAGGACGATCTTTTTAAGGATGATGGTTTTTTGAAAGAAAAGAGGCCATATGGTCGTTTCGGGAGACAGACACGTAGCAGCAAACAAGCAAACACACACGAGCATGGAAACACACGTACACATATGTGTATGTGAATAGACATTGATATGTGATATTTTGTTACGTAAACCTGTATCTACACAGACATTATATATTATATGTATATTTGTGGACTCATATTTACACACATGTAGACATATATCACATTTCATGTGTGCACATGCATGTACATGAGGGAGAAAGAACATGTGATCTGTGTCGGGGTATTCGGATGTGGGGGGTTTGGGCTGTGCGAACTTTGGGTCTGGGGTGCTGGGTAGGTGTGTGCCTGCAGGGGGCATGTGGGGTCGGTGCAGTGCACATGTTGACGTCAGTTGCATGTCCACTCATGAGCAGTCATGTGCAGCAGTTCATGAGTGCAGTCGCTGACAGGAAGGGCATGTGCTTTCTGCTAGAGCTTTCTGTGCAGGCAGCATGTCCGGTTGTGCAGTGCGAACTTGGTTTCTTTGTGGCTGTTTTGCCTTAAGAGCATTTTGAGCCCAGTGCGATTTGTGCTGAGTGCCATGAAGAGGGTCCGAGGTGGGCCCGGTCCGAATGACCCCGAGATGGGACTTTCGGAGGTGAAGCAGGAAGATGGTGAGGAGGAGACCGTTGAGGTCTCCGTGGAGGCGGAGGTGGAATGGGGGGAGGATTGGGGCGTGGAAAACGCCAAGTGGCTGGAGGCCCCGGAGGAGAGCGACAGCCACAAGCCCTACGAGCCGGACCATTGGCAGCGGGATGAGGACGAGCACAAGTATGGCTGGTGCGAGCAGAAGTATGAGGACGACCAGAAGTATGGGTACCACCAGCAGTACAACCGGGAGTATGGGTACGACCAGAAGTATGGGTACGACCAGAAGTATGAGTACTCGTACAACAACAAGTACCACTACAACGAGAGTTACGGCCACAAGGTCAAAGGCGAGTATGTGAAGGGCGGGTTTAAGGACACCAACGGGCAGTTCCACACGTTTCTCGGAAAATCATTATAACTTGTCTTGTTTCGCTATGCAAACACTGAACCCTACATTAGAAACCTTGTCTATATAAGCCCTGTATCATGACATCTATATACCCCTAGCTATATAAGCCTGCCCTTATACTTCCATAGGTGAAACCAAACCTTGTTTTAACAAATACTTCCCATGCAACAGCCATGCAAGGTATGGTCAAGGCCGGGATCGACCGCGGGCACGAGGCGGCTACCAGGCACAGATGCAAAAAAAGCGACGTCTCGAGGAAGAGAAGAAGCAGAAGGAGGAGATGGAAAGGGCCGCCGAGCGAAAAGAGCACTCGGCCCAGATCAGCCAGGCTCTTTCGACAATGAGTCGACTAGCTTCCGTGCTCGAACGGAAGCTTTGAGGTCCCTCTGCAAGCACATATAGAGACAAACAAGTCATGTAGTTTCTGTTGCGGGTGCATGGGCTTCATAGATTCTAGATTGAACTACATAAACCCCGTACCCTACATGATCATTTCATGTCCTTATCAGCGAGTCTAAGATTAGGCCTTTCTCCCGCAAAACCAGAGTGCTTGCAAGGGCTTCATGGTTTCCTAGCTCTAGGTGTGAGCGACTTCCAAAGTCTTGAAGGGTGTGGCCACTTCGGCTTTTATACAGTGCAAGTTCAGTTTAGAAACACAGCCTGCAATGCGAAGTGGCCAGGCCCTGCCACATATACTAGCTGACGATCCGGCCTGCTGGCATCCGAAAGAGGAGATGCAGTCATTACGGTCCGTTTCATGTATGTAAGTATGTATGTATCTGTATATAATGTATACATATGTACATATGCACATTTGGGTGTATTGTACTATATATATATATCATATACATATATGTCTCTGTCTTTGTGTTTCTACATACGTATGTATGACTGCAATACATTCAGTTTCTTCACATGAAAAGGCCCGTCCTGAGGATATGACACATGTTCAGGAAGATGCTGCTTGCATTTTGCAAGCCCTGCCATAGAAGGTAGCAGTGCGAGCGGGGTGTGTTGATCGGGGGGCATGGGTGCACCTGCAGCCTCAACACCTCAGCCTTGCAAAGCCTGGTACATTCCTGACTATACACCCATAAAGTTTCTAAGCCTTAATTTGTTATCTGTACTTATGTAACTTATGTATGTACATAGACCACGTGCAACCCGGACCCACAAAACAAATCCTTATATACCCCTGCATGAGCCTTAAACCCTTGACCCACAATAATCCCCCAAAGCCTGAACTGCAAACCTTCCTAAAGCCCCCTAAAGGCTTAAGCCCCAAAACCC